ATGAGTGAGTGAAGTAAGTGAATGAGAGTGTGTGCAAGTGTGAGAGTGAGTGTGAGAGTGAGTGTGAGAGTGAGTGTGCGTTTGCAAATGAGTGAGTGTGTGAGTGAGTGAGTGAGTGTGCGAGAGTGTGAGTGAGTAAATGAGAGTGAGTGTGCAAGTGTGAGAGTGTGCGAGTGCAAATGAGTGAGTGAGTGAGAGTGAGTAAGTGTGAGTGTGTGTGTGTGTGTGTGTGTGTGTGTGTGTTTGTTTATGTGTGAAGGATTGTTTAAAATGAAGTCAGGAGCCCTAGAGTTGTATATAGAGCCCCAGTGAAGGTGTTTTCAGGAGTTTGGTCTGTATCTTCTCAGCGCCAGACGAGTCGTTCGGCCTTCAGCGTCCCGTCGGCGTTCCCACATGAAACAATAATAACTAATAGCTGATTTCTGTGTGTGTTATATCAGTATTATTTAGCCATCTGAGCTGCTCACGACTTAAACAAGGTTGTTGTTTTGTGAAACTGTTCCCAATTAACGTAATAATGTCTTTGGCATGTGAATAATCCACAAACAGTGCGTTTGAATGTGAGGATAATGAAAGAGTTGTTATTTCTTTTCTTATGTTGGACGTCGTCTTTTTTAATCTGGAATGGTGGCAGCGGCTGCTTTATATTTGTGTCATGCACAGATTAGGACATCCGTCTAGTCCAGTGTGTGTGAAGAGAACACACAGGTAAACCCGCTCTTCATCTGCCGGAGTCTTCCGCTTCTGATCCGACTGAAGATTATTTAAATGCTGCCGTCATTTAAAGCAATTACTGCGCTCCATTAAATATTAATGCAGGTTTTTCCTTCATCCTCAACCCGCGTTCAATCACATAGAGACATTTAACCATCACATACACACACACACACACGCACACACGCACACAGCTGCTTCAAATTAAATTGATGTCAGCTTCTCTTGATGGAGCCACAAACAATAATTGGCTCCTAATGCTTCTGCCTATTTGTATAATGACCACTTGTATTAATAATTTCCTTCATGAATATGAGCGCAGGACTAGCGGCTGGTGTGTGTGTGTGTGTGTGTGTGTGTGTGTGTCCTCAAACCAATCACAAGTGCAGACTCTCTCCTCTATATCCCACTCTCCTACTAGTTATACAATATCTGTTCAAACCTCTAACCCTAAAAGAAATCAATACTTTTATTACTTAATTTGAGCAAAAGTCACATTTGTAAAAGTGATTTCTGTGTACGATGTTTTCCACACGAATATGAAGCCTCACAACTCTTTTCAACACTGATAATAATCGTAAATGTTTCTTGATCATCAGATCCTCATATTAGGGTGATTTCTGGAGGGTCATGTGACTCTGAAGACTGGAGTAATGATGCTGAACCTTATAGATATTCACATTGAAAACAGATGATTTACACTGGAATAATATTTCACTGTTTTTACTGTATTTGATCAAATAAATGCAGCCTTAGTGACCACTTTAAATCTCACCCCTTCAGAACACCGCAAAAAAATCTTATTTCTTTTCTCTGATTTTATATACCTTTTCCAAGAGCGATAGAAACACAATCTGATGACTGACATGCAATTTCCTTCCGTTAATAAATGTGCCAATTATCTCTCTGAACGTCTCGCTGACAATCAGACAATAACGAGCGTCTGTGTGGGAGTGAGAAGTAGACAGTGAACGCTGTCAAAACCAAAACTGTGTGTGTGTGTGCGTTTATAGATAGCGTGTGTTGAGCTCCGCATGGATTGGCTGATGTTCAGCTCTATGTATAGCACATGTGTAGTTCCTCTAGACAACTCGAGGAAATGCATGAAATTAATATATAATATAATATTAGTGCTGGGAAACGATTCATCACATCCAAAATAAAAGTTTGGGTTTACATAATATATACAGTATGTGTGTAATTATTCTGTATATATAAATACACACATATATATGCATGTATAATATACAGGTGAAACTCGAAAGATTAGAATATGGTGCAAAAGTTCATTTATTTCAGTAATTCAACTTAAAAGCTGAAACTAATATATTATATAGACTCAATATTATATTATCAATCCATTATTAGTTATGAAAACCCCAAATTAAAAATTAGAATATTGTGAAAAGGTTTTCATATCTGTAATCCATAATCATCAAAATGATAACAAATAAAGGCCTGAAATATCTCACTTTGAGTCTATATAATAGATTAGTTTCAGCTTTTAAGTTGAATTACTGAAATAAATGAACTTTTGCACCATATTCTCAGTTTTCGAGTTTCACCTGTGTGTCATGTTAAAGCTGAAGTCATTTCTGCAGCAAATAAACAGTTTGTTGTCAAGTCACCTTTATTTAAATAGTGTTTTTTTACAATACAGATTGTATCAAAGCACAACTTGATTGCATGAAAATAATATAAGAAGTTTGTTTCTAGAAGCAAATTGTGTCATCGTCCACCTGAAGTAAGGCAGATCAATAATATAGTTATTGCAGACATGAGTGTGTATGAGTGTGTGTGTGTGTGTCCTGTACATCAGCTCCTGAGCGGCGCAAGCGTTTAGAAGAGCTTTATTTGCTCTCGATAACACTGGTGTGAAACGGCTTCGGCTCACGTGTTTCACCCATGATGCCTTGCACTCGGCGCTGTAAGTGGAGGGAGTGGGAAATGGCTTTAGGTAACCCAATATCTGTCTGATTCACTCTAGTTTCCTGGTAACCGTCGTCTTGCTCAGCTCCAGATGTTCTGTAGTCCACTCCTGGTTTACCGTCAGGAACTGGAGATTCATTTAGTCAGATCAGCAGGAGACGATTTATCAATGATCAGCTCCTGTATAATCATCACTACTTTTCAAATATTATTATTATTATTTGGAATTTAAATAATGATGCATTATTTTTCCCATACCAATCATTAACAAAACAATTATTATTATTATTATTATTATTTTTTTAATTCATTTGAAGAAGCTTTTATTGTTGTTGTTGTTATTATTAATATTATTTTTTATATTATTATTATTATTATTTAAAATTTAAATTATACATTTTTTCCACAACAACAATACAATTATTCTTATTATATGATTTGAAGATGCTTGTTGTTGTTGTTGTTATTTATTATTATTATTATTATTTGGAATTTAAAAAATAATTCATTTTTTTCCCCACATTAACAATAAAATTACTATTATTATTATTATTATTATTTACAGTTTAAATAATGTATTATTATTATTATTATAAACAGTTCTTTTTTGTTCAGTATAATAATACAAATTTGAGAAAATGTACGTGTATGTCATAATGCAAACATGCTTCATTATTCTCATGCAAAACTTTTATAATGTTTTCTCTTGAATTTGCCATGAAATATGATTTATTTAATTGTATTATTTTTATTATTATTTGCAATTTAAATGGTGCATTATTTTTCCCACATTAATAAAATATATATTTATTAATTTATCATCATCATTGTTATTACTTTATTTCCAATTTAAATAGTGCATAATTAATAGATTGTTTTTGTGCATCTGCTTAATTGTCATGAAATAGATAATGCACATAAGCATGATTATCTTCATGCAAAACATCATTTTATATAGATTTTAGCGTGAAACAGCATCTAGGCATGAGATTTGTTCATTAACTAAAAAGCCCAATACAGTAAATGAGCGTCTCTCGGGGTGGACGTGAACGAGCCTCGCCAGCGCAGCGGGGAACACACACACATCTGGGTTTTGTTTGCCTGTTTGCTTTAGTAATTTGAGGGCCACATATAATCACCTTGGCAAGCCGAGGGCCCAGTGGATTTGTGGGTAATCCTCATTGATTTTTTTGTCTTCTCCATCCCTCTCAATGGCACCATTTGGCTGATTACATCACAGGATTGTATGATAAAGCAACATCAACTCAATTCAATTCCATTCGCACCCATTTTGTGTTATTGCTTCAGTTCTGAATGAATCCAAATGGATCCGTCCGCCGATCACATCCGAGCACCGCGGGATTATATAGTATATATATCCGAGAGTGACCGGTCGGCCCTTAACCACTCACCCGCACCACGTCCAACTCATTAAATATTAACAAACAGTAATGGAAGGCAATAAAAAGGAAAATTGCACATCATATGCAATACTTTGTTTTTATCAGCAGACGAGCCCTTTAATGAGGCCAGGAAGCCATCAAGTCGGAAGTTATTTTTAGAGCCAGCATAAATCAAATTATGAGTAATAATTTATCATTCTCAGTCTTAATTTTCCACAGAGTTCAGACGCCTGCTCCCCGCCAGTGTGTCTATGAGTTGTTTATTATGCTCATTTGATGATGATTTTAGCTCCGGTTTGACTTTCTACCCAAAATCTTTACTTTTTGCCTCGCTTTTGGAGTGGTTCGTAGTGCATCGCTGTGTGATTACCAGGGTGTTTCAGATGATTGCAAGAGTGTTTTATTTCCGTCTGCTGTGAAAAGAGTCATGCATCCTTTCATAAACCTCGAAATGACCTGTGATTGGCCAGTCGTGCTGATCTCAGGTCTGTCCAAGTGCTCTCCTGAGACCAGTGAAAGGAGAGCGCTTGATCATCTGCCGTTCCTTCTTGCCAAAACCGAGAGGAAGACCTGCATGATTTACAGTCATATAGCTCTAAAACAGTTCCTTTCTCCACAGATGTGACCTTAGGTTCAATATCGAGGCCGTTTGGAAACGGGAAACTCGTAATAAAAGGTCAAAGAGCCTGAAAGCACTTAGAGAAACACAGTATTTACTTCCCGTCGGCCTGCATGAGTTTGTCAAGTGGAAATAAAGAGAAAATGTGATCGATATTGACGTTTTATGGAGCCGTTTTCACACACATCAACACTTCTGCCGTGACACGAATTTATTGAAACGGGAAATAAGAGGAAAGCTGCCTTTAAATCTGTCACCCTGATTTATGGATCCTGACCGGATTAGCGTCTGTTCCTCCAGGCGCTCGTGTGTCTAAACCCTGTGTGTGTTTGTAGGTGGAGTGGCTGAAAAACGAGGAGATCATCGACCCCGCGGACGACAGAAACTTCTACATCACCATCGACCACAACCTGATCATCAAACAGACCCGTCTGTCGGACACCGCCAACTACACCTGCGTGGCCAAGAACATCGTGGGCAAACGGAGAAGCACAACGGCCACCGTCATCGTCTACGGTACGTCTGCGTTTCAATCAGTCTCTCTTCAATCCAACACGACTTAAACTGCAGTTCCTCCACTGGCCACTAGACAGACTCAACCCATAGACCCGCATGTTAAAACGGCCAACTTTACAGCAGAATAAACATGTTTACAGTCATTCATGTCGACTGTGAGGGGGTGAACTCATCCGTTTAAATTATATTAAGCGTAAAGTTCTGCGTAATTAAGGGCGTGGCCACTTGAGTGACAGGTGGATTTCCGCTGATGTCACTGCTAGCTGTATGTTAGCGTCGTGCCACCTCAGCTAATCTGCATTCCTGCTTATATATATTTAAAATCCTGCATGATCTCTGCTTTCTAACTGAGATAGATCCGATTAATTAGTTCCAGGGCCACAAAACACAGTGTTTTTTTATTTATGCTCCATTATTATGTTCTGAACAGAAAACCGCTAAGAACAGAAAACCGCGCTGGTGTTTTAAGTGTTGTAAATTCCCCCCGAAGGCGAAGGCAAACGCAACTTTGCTGTTGTGAAGTCGCAGCTCGACACATGCTCATCCGCTGTAAAGACGAGACGAGTCTTTCAGGAGCTCTTCGACAAGTGAGAGCAACACACGCCTGCTGCGATCGCTTACTGTTCCCAGATCTGCAGAGCTGGCACACACACACACACACACATGTGCTGATACACTGACTTCTCTTTCTCGTCGTGAAGCAGATGTGTTTCAGAGCACCCTGAACAGCGATAGATAGATAGATAGATAGATAGATAGATAGATAGATAGATAGATAGATAGATAGATAGATAGATAGATAGATAGATAGATAGATAGATCTGTCGAATCTTTAGTCTTCTTTGGCAGGAACGGTTGGAGTCGCTGAACATCTTCTCTCAGTTCCCGCTCTCGGATGGAGAGATGCTGATGATGTCATCGGGTTGAGTTTCTCCTCCATCTCTCACTGAACCACACACACACTCACCCGGACTAACACACTCCTGTTATTCACGCTTTTACTCGCGTTATCGCCTCACAGGAGGAGCGAGGCGGGAAAACCTTCACGCGTAACTGTAAAAGGGCACGACTCTTTGATGGATTTCTGGAGACACAAAGATCACAATCCCTCGTTCAGGCCGAAGCGCTTTCATCCCGGCTCATCCGCACAAGAAATGAACCACAATCCATCAGGGGTGAAACAATACATCATGTCACAATACATCACAATACAAAAATGCAACAATACGTGTTTTGGATAGTTGACCCGAAAAACATACTGTCTGTGTGAGGACAGAATAAAGTTTTCAGAGTTTTAGTGTCAGGACTACATTACAATACTGTATATAATGTTGAATATAATGTCTAATAATGCAATCGGGGAATATGTGTGTAAAAAGTGTCCGACATTATTATAAACATACCTGTTTGTCTAAAATAGTTCAGTATTTTCATCTTCAGAGTCATGAATATTGTTATTCTGGAGTCTCTATTGTCCTGTATTGGGAACTCTATTCATTTACACACACAATGTAAAACCAAATTTAGCATTTTAATCAACAGTGCATTTTTTGTTAACCTTTAATCATGTCTTGGAGTATCGCAGTAATATGGTATCGTGATGTATATCGAATCGGGACATGAGGGAATCCTCACACCCCTACAATCCGATCCCAGGAGCGATTAAAGTCATCAAAATAACGACAGAAAATGCACTTACTCTTATTCTGTCTTTCACATGTCCTTATGTGTGGATTTGTTCAGTCACTGTCAGGAACAGAAAAGCATCCCGCTGTTGTGCTTCTGAATAAATGAAGGTTTAGAAACAGTGAGTGATGACACAAAGTTTATTTTGGGTTGAGTTATTCCTTCAAGTGTGTGTTCCCGTTTTCCACTCGAGAGCTCATCACTCGCTGCTGTGATAAACTGAGGATCTTTCGCTATCAAAGCTACAATCACGTCTCTCAGCCTCTCCAATCGTGTCTCTCTGACTGATTGAAAGAGGAATCAGCGCTGCTGTACGCATCACTCCCATGAGTCTTAGCGACGGTGTCGGAGTGTGTCTGTTTTAACTGTGTTTTCCATCAAATGAGTAAACGAGTTTCAGTTGAAAACGCGTCTGAGGAAACGGCGGTGTTTAAACACAATGACGTAAGTTTAGTCATGTGACCCGTGTTGAACCAATAGATATTGATGTTTCTAGCGGTATCGATTCACTTTCACACAGTTGGTGAAATCTGTTTCTTCACACACTCTTCATATCTCAGTCCTAAACATGACAGAGTTTACTCACATTTGCTGCGGCGAAACGTGAGAGCGGTCGCGTCTCAGACCGAACATATAATGGTGAGAGAGCGACCGGACGATCAGGGAACGCAGAGATATTCTGTATCAAAAGAATCACGCGATCATTTTTTTTTTTCAATTGCTTTTATTTATTTTTTTATTTTTTTATTTAACAGTCAGACACACATACAAACCAACATGGTGCAGTAGTGAGCAATCTTGTAAATCCATAATTCCAGAAGTGACATAAGAGTGATTTAAGTGTTTGATCTGAGTGAGTGTGAGTGTGTGTATGCGTAAACAAAGTAACCATTTATTATTTATTACCATTGTCATTACCATCATGCTGGTCGACCTTTATTTCCATCCTTCCTCCTATCTAACTATTGCCATTGTCAATCCTGTATAAAATAAAAGATTATATAATAAGAAAATATATGATAACCTTCCCCCACATCTCGTCAGTCCCTATCTTTTCCTATTTTTTTTTCACGCGATAACTTTATTATCTGTGTGTCCGCCTGTATCATCGCGGTGAGTGTTTGTGAGTGTTTACTCATGCGCTGTGAAGGGGAGTTTGGTGCTGGTGTGGACGGACAGTGCTTCCAAACTATAGAAACTGCAGATGAACGTCTTCTGTCGGTCTCCCCGTGTGTGTGTGTGTGTGTAGTGAACGGTGGCTGGTCGACGTGGACCGAGTGGTCGGTGTGTAGCAGTCGCTGTGGGCGTGGCTATCAGAAGAGGACGAGGAGCTGCACCAATCCGGCGCCGCTGAACGGAGGAGCCATCTGTGACGGACTGGCCATCCAGAAACTGGCCTGTAACCCGCTGTGTCCAGGTAAACACTTCAGAAACACAAAGAGGGTCACGTTTCTCTTACATCTTCAAATTCTGACACTTTTTTCTCACAATTATTATTTTTTTTAATTTTTTATTTTTTTTGAACTTACATTTTTTATTAATTCTTAACAGAGCAGTTACATGTATCAACAACAATTATCAAAAATGTTGCTAAAGTACAATCTTGGAAAGAGAGAAAAAAAAAAAAATTATTTTTGACAAAAAATAAACATAGTCAAAATATTCCAAGATAAAAAAAAGTCACAATTACCCTTTATTTTTTTAGGCGGAAACCAGCTTTCATACTTATCTTACACATTGTTTTTGTCATCTAGCAGATTGGGGTGGAATAGATAGATATGTGTTGGAAAAACAATATGTGACCCTGGACCACAAAACCAGTCACATGGGTAAAAACATTTTTTAAATTGGATCTGACAGCTGATAAATAAGCTTTCCACTGATGTATGGTGTGTTAGGATAGGACAATATCTGTCAGAGATAGAACTACTGAACATCTGGAAAAAAATCGAAACATTGAGAAAATCGCATTTATGTTCACGATGGGCTATATGCACGCATAAGTTCCGCATTTGACGTAAGGATGCTCGTCCATTTCCGGTTGTGGAGATTAAAGCGGAGGAAAACCGGAGAAAACGGGATTATGGCAGAGTCTTCAATATTTACTGTCCTCCCGTCTTTGAAACGAAACGTACATACGTTTAGATGTAATTTTATATATAGTTATGTTCATTTAATATAATTTTAAAAAGAAGCATAAACACAACGAGGGGGGTCTGTTTTATCTGTTTTTGTGACTAACGTTTCTTTAGTATAACCATGGAGTATAAAATTCAATATAAATTCTCGGTATTGCATTGGACTCTACGATCGGCGGAAGTTATCGAGCATCCTTAATCCTTCACCGGAAATACCGCCGTGCATAGAGCCCATTGTGTTGCATTCACTCACAAAATAAATATTGTATATATTTACAGTAGGAAATTACAAAATATCTTCATTGAACATGATCTCTACTTAATATCCTAATGATTTTTGACATAAAAGAAAAATGGATCATTTTGACCCATAGATTGTATAGTTGGCTATCACTATCGCCACAGACACACCCATGCGACTCGTGACACACATGTGACTCGGTCACGTCGGCCGCAGTGTAAATATGAATCCCTTGAGAAGGACGGCGATGGACTGGTCATGAATGTGAACACTGATGAGTGTGTTTCTGATGAGTGTGTCTTTACTGCAGTGGACGGCCTGTGGACGGACTGGAGTAAGTGGTCTCCGTGTGGGACGGAGTGCACTCACTGGAGACGGCGGGAATGCAATGCTCCGGCTCCTAAAAACGGTGGGAAAGACTGCGAGGGAACGGTTCTCCAGTCCAAGAACTGCACTGATGGACTCTGTATGCAGAGTGAGTAGTTTGTCCGACATTTAGAGCTCACTGCTACCAATGCTCTCCTTACTCAGTATTTCTGTCTTGTTTCCAGTCCATATACCTACAAAATCTTAAATCAAGATGCATTTACTAGATGAGGAAAATCAGGATATTATGTCCTGTTTTCCACGGGAATTAATCCAAATTAAGCGAGTTGATGCTTAAAACAAATCTGCCAATGGTGTAAAAAAAATATCTTAATTCAAACAGAAACTAGATTATTTTTCTGACCCCATTGGCAGATCATTTTGCTTGTTTTAAGCAAAAACTCACTTAGTTTTTATTTATTTCCCCATAAAACGTTATATCTTATGGCATTTTACTACTTTAGTAAATGCATCTTGATTTAAGAAAAGTTTGATATTTGGTAAGTAAGGAAAGCATGTTTTCGCAGTGCTACATGCCTTCCGTACACACACCTTTCTCTTTCAGCATCCAGAAATCCCAGATCACACCTCAGACTCTCCGTCTGTCTTTCACTGCATGAAAACTGTGGTTTCGTTTCGTTTTCATATCAAAGCCATTGTTTTTTGAATTAGGTTTATTTTTACCTCACGGTCTGTTTTCTTCAAATCTAACGAAGGCTTTTGATTCAAATTAGACGAAACAATAGAAGAAGAAAAATAAACTTCATCCGTTGTTCATTTGGAAACAGCTCTTATCTATGGAAGCTTGTTTCCAACACTGAATAAAAAACAGAAAAGATCATTTCAAGTTTCTCACAATTCCGAATTTGTCAAAAATAACACAATTACTAGTTTATATCTCAAAATTATCTCTTTTTTCTCTCAATACCAAGTTTATATCTCAAAATTCAGAATTGTTTTTCCAAAATTCCAAGTTTATATCTCAAAATGCTGAGAAAATGGTCAGAATTGGGAGAAAAGACGTTGCAATTACCCTTTATATTTTTTTATTCCAAGGTGTAAACAAGCTTTCATACTTGTCTTACGCATTTGTTTTTGTGTAAGGATGCAGTTGCCCTGGATCCTCAGTGTCCTCCTGTTTTCTCTCGTCAGAGGAGCTGTTGTCCTCTAACAGACTACGTTGAAGTGGATGTCGATGTTGTAGAAACAATATGTGACTGTGGGTCACGTGTAAATATAGCCTGTGTGATGTGATGAGATGTAATGAGTGCACTCACAGCCCAGCGCTCAGCAGCTATATTTAAAATAATGATAAGGGATTATATCGTACTTACAGAAAGTTTCATAATTGCTCCATGTCTATGATTACTATGATTTGGACCCTATTTTAAAACGCACAGAGAGAGGGAGAGGAAAATCACGACTGCTCAGACTCACTCTCTCAGCTGTTTTTCTAGTGAAGGCAAATATTATATGTGTTGAGAAGCAGTTTTATGATCCTTTAACTCTTTCACAAGATGTTTTAAACACATGTAAGTGGGAAAACAGAAAATATTCTTCGGTGCTCATTCATTAAAAAGGCACAGTTGACCTAAAACTTTTCGATCGGTCGTAATTTACTCAGTTTTGTGTCGTTTCAAAACCATAGACCCAAAAGAACAGACACATAAAGTTTTAAACGCATAAAGTGAGAATGAATAAGTTTAACTCATTTTAACGAAATAAACTCATTAACGTAACATAAACTCATTTTAAGTTTTATTAAAAGTACTTGATTTTTAATGTACTTGGGTTTTAAAAGTAAAACAGATGAACCGACCGACATCCACATATAAGCATTTCAATGGGCTTAAAAAATTTGACTTTTTACTGCAGATGTAGTTCATGAACAACTGAGCGACTGAATCATTTGGTGTGATTTGTGAACCAACTCAGCTGGTTCACAAACCATCAGCCATGTCTGATTCGTGATCGAGTCGATTCTTTCCAGTGGATCAGCTGAGCCGATTCTTTTCAGTGATTCAGTTGATTCACTGGAAATAATCGATTCAGCTGATTCACTAGAAGTAATTGACTCAGCTGATTTTCTGGAAATTATCGATTCAGCTGATTCACTGGAAATAATCGATTCAGCTGATTGACTGGAAATAATTGGCTCAGCTGATTAACCGGAAATAATCGATTCAGCTGATTCACTGGAAATAATCCATTCAGCTGATTCACTGGAAATAATCGATTCAGCTGATTCACTGGAAATAATCGATTCAGCTGATTCACTGGAAATAATCGATTCAGCTGATTCACTGGAAATAATCCATTCAGCTGATTCACCGGAAATAATCGATTCAGCTGATTCACTGGAAATAATCCATTCAGCTGATTCACCGGAAATAATCGATTCACTGGAAATAATTGACTTAGCTGATTCACTGGAAATAATTGATTCAGCTGATTCACTGTAAATAATCGATTCAGCTGATTCACTGGAAATAATCGATTCAGCTGATTGACTGGAAATAATCGACTCAGCTGATTCACTGTAAATATTCAATTCAGCTTATTCACTGGAAATAATTGACTCAGCTGATTCACTATAAATATTCAATTCAGCTTATTCACTGGAAATAATTGACTCAGCTGATTCACTGGAAATAATTGATTCAGCTGATTCACTGGAAATAATTGACTCACTGGAAATAATTGACTCACTGGAAATAATCGACTCAGCTGATTCACTGGAAAGAATCGACTCAGCTGATTCACTGGAAAGAATCGACTTAATCACGAATCAGACATCTCTCTTTTTCAGCTCGAAATAACGAGGAACGATATGTTTTCATGGAATGTAGTGAAGTAAAAGTAAATGTTTCCCAAAATAAAAGTACACACTTTTTTTCTCATTTGTTAGTGAGAGTCTAATGTAGAAGATCATGGAGTTTGAGAACATAAACAGAGCTCAGAAAAGCAGGAAGATGATGAGATCATTCAGACCAAATCTGACATAAGCAATATTTCATGGATTTAATGTAATGCTATTGTGGGCAAAAAGTGCAGTTTGATGTTTCCCATTTTACGATGGATTGGATTTATCATGCGATTGCTATTTGAAGTCCAGTTTTGATTTAGCATGTTGGTATTTTACACAAATCACAATCACAATAATCACAATAATCATTGATATTTTTAGACAGTGGTTATAGTGATGTGTCAATGCCTTGTCACGCTCCACCACTGGGAGTAAATGATGACAGTGCAGTCGGGATGGTGGTCTGTGTGGGTACAGATGTCCTGTCGTGTGTCTCCAGTGAACAGGAACTGGATTCTCTGCTGTTTGCCATTGATTATACATGCAGAGGTTGAGAAGGCCAGAGGAGATTTGAAACTAAACGTTTCCCTCTTCTGAAGCGCCCCGTGTTTATCTGCTAATCCTCCCTTCACTCCTCTCTCCAAATGACATCACGACTGCAGTTTGGAAATACAAAAACAAAACGTTTCCTCAGTAATAAATGCGTCTGTTGAGGGCGAAGCGGAAAAAGCAGCGAGCGAAAGCGTTTGTTTTAATAAACGTCGAGTTTCATATTCATTTTGATTAGGTCATGAAAATGAAATGACCAGGGGTCGCAGAGATGCAGAGCAGATTGAATCAAACGTCGTTAATGATAATCAGGAATCTAATTACCAGTTTCATGTGGCGTGTAAATGATGAGCGAGTGTATTGATCAGGGTCTCAAAGGAACGTGTGTGTCTGATGTTTCTCATCAGTTTTACGAGCTCAAGTTCAATGCAGTAAAAACACAAGATTTGACTTTAAAGAAAAGCCTGATTTTTCTTTAATGCATACAGTAGTGTTAGACTGCAAAATAAAGTTCTTCCTCTTGTGCTTTTGTCTTGTTTTCCAGCACAAATATCTGAACGTTCTTCCATCAAAATGTATTTACTAGAGAAACGAACATATTAAGGCTTGTTTACTGAAAAAATGATGAAGATCCACCATATGCGTAACACATTCAGAACAACGGGGTCAGAAAGATCATCATTTCCCGTTGAGTTGTTATTGTTTCTGACCAGATATTATATTTTAAGCACAAACTCGTTTTGATCATTTTTTTTTTCATTAAACAAGACTCAATATCTTCAGTCATTTTGCAAAAACATCTTGATTTGGTATATTTAGATATTTGTGCTGGAAAGCAAGAGCATAATGTTTTTTTTGCAGTGCATTGTGGTCCGTCCTCTTGGTGGTCGAGTTGTTAACTGAGCAGCGTTCAGGAAACGCCGTAATCTCAGATATTGAAGTCATTTGAATCTTCCTATTCTCCCAGTGAAATGCATTGTGGGAGCATTACCTCTGGTCAGATGGATGGCTAGTTTGCGGGGAATATAAAACCCATAACGCTATAGATTTAGGCTCACTTCCCTTGATTGATATTCCCCTTTCTCCAGCTAAAAGGGTGAAACCACTTATGTGCATGCTAATGACCATTTCACTGGGCGTTTATCTGGAATGCACATTATCTGAAAGCTCACATTATTGCAAATATCATTGGACATGAATTACACTCGAGACGTGAACTCGGCTCGTCCTTCAGAAGCGTGAGTTCATGCCGTTAGAAAGCATTTACGGAGCGTTTCCTCTGCGTTAATGGCACTGCCGATCTTCCAGGGCGAGTTTGAGAGAAAGTTATTTGCTTTTTGAGTTTGTGAAGTGCTCAAATGGTGTTTCAGGCGCAGGTCAGATTGAATTTGAAGTCTTGTTCTGGATTGGGCTGTGTAGTTTTGGCCTCGATCGCTGCGTCCTCCCGCTGTGTTCGGCTGTCTTGCTTTGTTGTGATGTTGCTTTTCTGGGCTTTGGATACTTAACGCACAGACAGATGACATTTTCTTGACATATCGATCCACGGAAAAGGGCACGACTAACACAAGGGCAAACACCGGCTTTTTCTTCTCCCAGAAACTAAATCTTGTGCACATTTTTTTTTTTTTGCTGTATGAAATCTAATATTTGCATTTCATATGGAGCGACAGCAAACATGATTTCCATCATCATGGTAGTGTTTGTTGCCCTTGTGTATTTTTTGCTGTTGTAAGAGCTGTTTAATTGTCATGAAA